CACCAAATCAAAGATTCTGCTTCTAGGTATGCCTGGCATCTGACTTTCTCCCAGGCCCAAAGCACCTTCCTACAGAATCAATGTCTCTTTTCAAATTTACAATCCCTGACAGTGACAGAGTACTCAGTAAGCAAGGTAGGCATGGATTTCCTTGTGCTTACTTATTAATGCAGAGTAAACAATTTCATGTTTTACACTACATGTGGTATGATTCATGTGAAATTGTTCACTGCAGATTAGTAAGTAAGCATAACTAAGCCTGTGTTTATCTTGATTACTGGGTAATCTGCCCCTGATACCTAGAAGTCATAAATATGAGATTTGGTCTCCCAGTCTCTGATTCAAGGTCTGTGCTCTTTCCATTAGATTATCTAATAATTGCTCAAGACATTCACGATAGTCTTGACTCTTCTTTCTCTCATATACTCCCCCTCAGGCCCATGAGCAAATCCTGGCAGCTCTGTGGACAGCACCTTCACTGCCCAGCCTGGCTCAAGCCATCACTTAGGTTCTTGCAGTTCCCTCCTCACTGGTCTCCCCGCTTCTGCCCTTGAACCACTATCTGAATTCTCTATACAGCAACCAAAATAATCCATTAGAAACATGAGTCATACCATATCAGTCCACTACTAAAAATCCATTGGTGGCTTCTCATTTAACTCAGAATAAAAACTAAAGATCCTGCAATGGCTTACAGGCCTTAGAAAATCCGTCCCCTTGACTCCCACCCCCACTCTACTCCTCCATCTCTCCCATGGCTCACTACTCAGCTACCCTGGTCTTCAACCAGAAAATTCCTGTCTCAGGGGCTTTACATTTGCTGTACCCTCTGCCTGGAATGTCCGTCCCACCCCACCTCCGCCATCATATTTGTATGGCATGTTCTCTCACCTCTTTTATAAGTACCCTTTCTGACAACCTTTACTAAGCTAATAAATTTCTGCCCACTTTATAATCCCCATCTTCCTTAACCTTGTTTTATGATACTCCATAACCCTTATTGTTGTTAAGTGACACTGAGTCAGTTTCGACTCATAACGACCCTGAATAAGGAGCGTCTGCTGGGTTTAAAATGCCGACCTTATGGCTAACCATCTAGTTAGGGCTTATTCTAGATCACCACACCAGGACTCCATAACCCTTATTACCATTTGAGAGTTCTATGTTTACTTATTTGTTTATTGTTTGCCCCATCCTCATTATAATGTAAATTCCATGAAGACAGGAACTTTGTTTTATTTTCTGTTATTAGAATACTGTTTTCATTTCCTAAAACACTGCCAGGTACATGGTGTTGTTGTTTTTGTTAAGTGCCTTTGAATCTGTTCCGATTCATAGCAATCCTGCATGGAGTTTCTGAGGAGCGGCTAGTAGGTTTGAACTGCTGACTTTGTGGTTAGCAGCCCAGTGTTTACCCTACAGCGCCACACCAGGACTTCTAGCACATAATAAGTGTTCAATGACTGAAGGAACAGAAAGACAACATTATTCTTCTGAAGATGGAAAAGCACTTTGTAAATTACACAGTGGTGTAAGAGGCTTATTTATTCCAGTTAGTTCTTGGTTTTTAAGCTTACAGAACCATTTCTGAAAACCGTATCTAAACTTAAAGAATTTTGCTTATGCATTGCTGATTTTTGATAAGCCACCACCACCTACCTATACATAGCTAATTGGAGTCCTGGTGTGGTGTTGTAGGATAAACACTAACCACAAGGTCAGTGGTTCAAACTCACCAGCCTCTCCTCAGAAACCCTACTCAGGGTCACTATGAGTCAGAAACGACTCGACAGCACTTAGCAGCAACATATAAAGCTAGGAGTCCTGGTGTGCCACTGTAGGATAAGCACTGAACTGCTAACCGAACAGTTGGCAGTTCAAATCTATGAGCCACTGCTCAGAAACCCTATACAAGTTCGCTATGAGTCAGAACACTTAACAGTAACATACATAGCTAAGTATTGTTAGAGAACCCATTCATGTCATCCTTTCCTTCTTAGGTTTACTGGTAAAGCCAGTGTCAACTTTTCCCCTGCATTCTGCATTCTGAGCAATGGGAGTGATGGTTGGTGTCTTGTCTGTAGTTAAGATTCTATACAGGGAAAGTCATTCAATTAAATCAAGCAGTATTGAATTCTTAATTGACACAAATGAGACAGACAGACAGCTGGAGGAGTGGGGGAGGGACAGGGAGCAGGTGCCCTACATAATGAAGAAAGAAGAGGGACAGAATATAAATTTGAACTGATGGTAGGGAGGCTCACTTGTGAGTGTGGATTTTGTACCACAAGAAAAGTAAGTTTTGTCACAGCTTTCTTTACATAGAACAGAAGGATTCAGGGATGTCTTTGTCACGAAGGAGGCAGCAGGGTTCAGATGCTTGTGCCATTTTGACTGCCCTGAAGATCAAGTCTGACTTTTCCAGTACTGTCATCTGTGAGAATTACTCTTGGTAAAACCCTCTTTCTGTGTGTTTCAGTATAAACTTAGGTTAATGTTTGAATAAAAAAAGTTAAAAAAAATTTTTTTGTTTCTAATTTCACACTTTTTAGACAAAGGGATTCTTAATACATGGGTTAGGAAAGGAAAGG